ATGTACCATACACACCAACGAGTTTGGAGGCACTACTAGGTCCTTTGATCACCTTCATTTCACTTTCTGGTACTTTGATCCCAAACAATGGGGAGGTGTTTCCAGAAGCAGTATGGAATTGAATTGCATTGATAGCCACAGAATCAACCCAGACGACAACCTTAACAATTGGATCATTTGGAAGCACAACAAATTTAATGGCGGATTTGCTACTAGTACTGTAAACGTCTGAACCAAGAACGCAGTACATTGCAGACTTGCCGGTGTGGTTTTGGTTGAATGATAAGTAGACTCGTTGGATGACAGATCTGTACCTGTGGCTGGAATCTTCATAGTGTTCATCACATTTAATGTGTACTTCTGTGACTCCAGAGAGATTGCACCCAGAGTCAAACTCATGACCATTACATGTAGCATGGCCACAGGTGGGCGCCTTTGTCACCGTTACCTTCGTGGCTGCATCGGTTTGTGTAGCAGAAGCCATTTCCGTCGTCTTTGGATTGCATTCCAACTTCCCAAACCTTCATTGTGGCAGTAAAAAGGGTTGCAGGATCAGCCGCTCGAGAATGGAGCAAATCAGAGCAGCAACCGAAAATTCCAGGCCGGTACAGTTCCCTATGGGCACATGCAGGTACACCGTGGCAGGCTAAAGAGCCTGCACCAGCCGACGAGAACGTGAACCGTTACCTTGGTGGCTGCTTCCGTTTGCGTATTGCCGTTGTGTCTGAAGCATTCCTGGCTAGCGGCTAGCTTCCATGAGCTTGACTATACAAGAGTTTGACTGCATTGTGCCCTTTTCTTCAACCACTGAACGCCAACAAAGTAGTCTGAGCTACCAAGTCACTCGTGCCTGTAACTAGACCCTGTACACCCCACAAGTGTTCTTTGGCTCACCGTTGCAGTAGGATACCTCGAACAGCTTCCACCTCGGCCAAGGCTTCCCAGACAGCATTGGGCACTTTCGTTTTTGTTGAGTTCGTTCCTCCATTCTGAAAGGAATTCACGGCTTGAAACTGCTGCTGCTGGTCGGGTGTTCGGGCAACGGACATGACGAAGTCTTGCAGTATGGCACAGCTGTTTCCCAATCGGAATGCCAAAAGCTGGTTTTCTTGTTGCTGTTGCTGGAGTTGAATTGGATTGCTGTTGTTGGCGATTGCTTGTTGCTGAGTGGGTTGTTGACGATGTGGCGGAATTAGAGCCGACATGGGAGTAGAATTTGGGCCGTTCATTCCAGTTCCTTGAACCGCTCCAAACGACGAGCTGGTTGAAGCTGTAGAGTAGCCCTGCTGATGCAGGTGATGGGGTTGCTGAGGCTGCATAGGACGAGGTTGCTGTGCAATTTGTTGCTGCGGTGACAAGCCATACTGTGGTGGTTGGGGGTTCAGTGGCGTTTGCCTGACCTTGTGTTCGCCAATGCTGTCATCACCGAACATTGCTGCGTCGATCATCCTCACATTGTTGTCGGAATAATGCTCTTGTTCCTGAGGTTGTTGACCAGGCAATGGTTGTGGCTGCAATCCGTTCCAACCCTCCTCCAACTTTTTCCTCCAAGTATCGCTGCTTGAAGACAGCCGTTCCACACCCTGCTCTAGACTCTGCTTTACGGCTTGCAAATTGAACAAATCACCGCCATTTTTTCCAAGAGCTTGATTCCCTTGGGGTGGTTGTTGATAGTGATGCAGCTGTTGTTGATAGCGATGCTGCGGATGAGGATGTTGATGCATATGAAGTTGCTGTTGTGTTTGACCAGCCGCTGTATGATCCACAATTCCCATGGTTCCCAGTTCGGGATGCGTTTGCTGGTACTTTTGCATATCCAATAGTTGATTGAGCTGCTTCACCAAGGGCTCCAAATCATTGAGAGGAGGCATATTCATGAGTGAGTCCATGACCCGATGATGATGCGCCTCAGGACTAACATCGGGCTTGAGCAATTCCTCCTGACACATCAAGATACGGCTGGCCGCCGTGGTCTCCAACAGGGCCATCCATTCCCATCTTGAACCATTCAATGAGCGAGGAGGTGAGGCTAACGGTTGCAACAAGAACCGACGATCCAATTCTCTCCTCTCAAACTTACCCCTCCGACACCAGTTCGACGAAGACATCCCAAAGAATAATAACATTAGAGGCACCCACGACCTCTCTGGAATATAAGAGCCGGATCCACTTAGTGCAGTACCTTTATTATTGGGAATTTTGACAGTTAAGAAACCTCAGCGGCAGCAAAAACCAAAGGAACCAAGGAACGACCAAAAGGCTTGCATAAGACTTACAACTGGGGTGGAACCGACAGAGATTTCAACAGAGGGCATAGTCGGTCAGGGTGTCCCTGGTTCTGATAGTATTGCTGAATTTTGGACAATGTAGAATGTGACATGTCCTCTAGTGGCCGTGAATTGGAAGCCACCTTGACATCAAAGGCCTGTCGGACATGCCCGAGAATGGATTGGAGCATGGTGTAGGCAGCCGGCCTGTCAAAGACTAGTGCCAGAAGTTCCGATTGATCCCCAGGGCCACTGAAAAGCATTTGTCGTTGTCTATCAATGACTAGGACCAGCCATAGATAGGATGCAACTTCATGCATCCCTTGTCGGTATCCAATGTGAGGATTCTCTTGTGAGAAAATGTACAGCATTTCTCGTAGTGCGTCCATCCATGATTGCTGCTGCTCAGGTGTATCCCAAGTGGTGGTAATGCTGACACCCCCTTCTACAACCTCTGTGACAGAGGGTTTCGGTAATCGATGAAGATCCTTGTCAATGATACTGAGCTGTGGTAAATGGAAAGTTAAAAGGAAAAAAAGACAACAGGGTCATGCAGTAAGTTTGGCAGTTTGAGTTGATTCAATCCACTGTGTGACCTCATCAACCCGATCAAACCAAACCACCACTTCCATTTTGTTTCCATGTACGTACCGCCTCTCGATCCAATTTCTTTTCTCCATCTGCGTCGACATAGTCTTCTACTACTTTGCTCCCTGGATCTGAGAGTCCTCGGTTCCGACGTGCCTTTTCCTTTCGATATGCCAGATCCAGTTCTTGTCTCCGAACTTCCTGCGCTTGTTGCTCCATCATCATGGCCGTCAGAGGATCGAAAAAATCGGAAGACGAATCTGGAGCAATAGGCAGAGGTTTGTCCGCTTCGGGCGTCTCAATTGGGTCGCCATTACTGGTAGAAATAACAGCAGGAGCGGAAGGAGCATCCATTTCGCTCAAATGAGGTGTGTAGAGTTCTTTCAGTCGGGCATAGTTGGACACCTCTTCCTGTAACAACTGATTGTTGAATTGAATAACATCTTCCAATTCCAAAACTGTCGTGTTCTGACGGGGAGACTTGATCAAACCCAACAACAAGCGCCAAGTCACTGACCGTGGCAGCTTTGAGAAGTTCGCCTTGGTGGAAACAACTAACTGAGAAGGACCAGCTGTGCCTAAAGGCTGTGCCATCGGATGATGAGCTTGTGACGGCGCTGAAGATGTCATTATGGATCAACAATATCCTCAACTGATGGTCGAAAACAACTGACTGAAGGGATCCAATAGAAACTCAAAAGACACTTCAGCCTTCGACACCGAAAAAGGACTGAAACTCTTTCAAGCGAGCTCTTTCTGTAGATCTCAGTATCGCTGTCTCACTGCTAGGGGCACTGATCCTATCAACTCGTAATAACAACAAATACTAAAGAGATACGTTAAGGAGCGAGGGGGGCTAGATTAGGTAGACTGAAGCTTCCGCAATGCAAGAGAGCCGCCGCCATGGCCGACGAAGATTGAGGATTGAGGCTTCTTCGTGTAGAAAGTGCATTAGGGTTCAAGGTTTTGCCTCTCGCCAGCTGAGACGTGGATACCGTTTGCTAATCAACGACTCGACTCGCTCGACTCCAAAGCGCGATACGTACCGATATCCCAGACCACAGAAGCACCACATGCTTCACTGACCCGCACAACAACACAACGGCACAAGACGAAGCAAGCAAGGAAGAAAGAAGAGACGATGGCGGAGATCACAGAAGAGCAGATGGAACAGTTCGAGGAGGAACTGCGCACAAAGGGCTTTCGAGCCTACAGGGACAAGCCGCTGGAGTTTAAAAACAATCCCAAGTTTGCAGTGATCGCAGCGGAGCATGGCATCTGGAGGAGTTTAACCCCAGAAATGAAAAACAACAAAGAAGTCGCACGTATGGCTGTCATGATTGATAGCAACGTTTTGAAATCGGTTTCCAGGGAGCTGCGTGATGACCGTGATATTCTGGTTACTGCCGCCGAGTTTTCCCTGGCATACGGTGTTTTTGAGTACGCCTCCGACAGGCTTCAAAAGGACAAGGCAGTGCTGACAGCTGCGGCCAAACGGGAGGACAACATCTTTCTAGATTACATCCCCGCTGAGTACTTGGATGACGAGGAGTTCGTCCTGGGACTCCTACGGAACGCAACTCGAAGCAACGGTATGCACTATATTTCGGAGAGGCTACGAAGCGACAGAGAGTTCATGCTCAAAGCAGTGAAAGCAAACTGCCAGGTCCTAACGTGTGCCTCCAAAGAGCTTAAAGACGACGAAGAAATTGTCACAGAGGCTTTAAAAAGAGATGAACGTCGGGGCTACTCGGGCGGGCTGCTGTATTGTGTCTCCAAGCGGCTGCAGGACAGCATCCCCGTTGTGCTGGAAGCTTTGAAGACCAACAGTCGTGCATTGGAAAGTGCCTCCGAGAGGCTCAAATCTCACAAACCGACCGTGCTGTTTGCTGTCACTCATGGTTGGGATAATTTGTGGAAAGCCTCCGCAAGTCTTAAGGACGATTATGACGTTGTGCTGGCCGCAGTCACCAGCAAGAGAGGTTATGGGCACAACGACGCTCTGAGATGTGCCTCCCCAAGGCTCCGCGACTTTGAGGACATTGTGCGAGCGTCTACTATTCGAGAACCTTCGAGCTTGGCCCACGCTTCCGATCGCCTAAAGGACAAAAAGGACATGCTTCTCGAGGTCCTGGTGTTTAGTGGAGATGCCCTGCAGCATGCATCCACCAGACTGCAGAATGACAAGGTCGTTGTTCTGAGAGCTGTCCAAAAATCAGGAAAGGCGCTGAGGTGGGCTTCTGAGACCCTCAAAGACGACCGAGATGTGGTACTCACGGCTCTCATGCAAGACTGTCTCAGTCTGGAGTTTGCTTCTGACAGGCTCAAGGCGACCAAGGAGGTCGTCATGGTCGCTCTGGCCACTTGGAATGCTCGCCGCATCGAGTGCCTGAGGCACCTCCCCGACGCTTTGTTCGATGACGCCGAAATTATGCTCATAGCCATGGCCAAGATCCACGGCGAAGGAGATTGGGAGGAATGGCCAATGTCTCGTGTCCACGAAGTAGGAACAGTTTCCAGCAGGCTTCTCACGGACAGGGATTTTCTGCTGGATGCAGTCACCATTTGTGGTCATGATGCGCTCAACAAGTTGACAGACAAAGAGCTAAGGGAGGACCCTGTCTTTGTGAAGATTGCCACAGAACGCGAGCTAGGGCTTGAAAGGAAGGCAGCCGAATGGGAAGCTTCCCGGCGAAAACAGAAAAAGATCAGGGTCTTTTGCGAGGACAGAGAAGCAGCGCTTGATTTGATCAGAGAAGATGCCTCCAATCTCAAGCGTGTAGGCTGGGAACTCCGCAACGACGACGAGTTCCTGCTGGAGGCATTCGCTATTGATGGTTTGGCTCTGGAGCATTCTTGTCAGCTTGGCGGCAAAAAGGATATTGTTGCCATCAAACAAAATGGCAAGGCCCTTTTGTGGGCCTCGGAATACACGCTGGACGACAAGGAGCTGGTTTTGGAAGGTCTTGGTTCCATTGACAGGAACCAGGAGGTGGTCAGAAAGATCGTCGACAGATTGCCGACTCGGCTCCGAACAGACCGCGACGCGTTTTGTGCAGCAATGAGAAAGTACGAGGTCCCCAACGATCCACAGACTCTGTATGATGACGAAGAGTTCATCATGGATTGTTTGAGGACGGGTTTTGACGTCTTCAGCTTTGCCTCACAGAGGTTGAAGAACGAGATGTCAGTTGTGGTGGCTGCTGTTGAGGTCTCTCCAAAGAACATTTCCCACGTTCCACTGGAGCTGCTAATGTCCAGTGATTTTCTGAACAGGCTTGCCGCAGCAGTGCAGTTTCACGATCATTTGAAGAGGCTCGGAAAGGACAAGCTCGTGTACGCCGGTGAGGATTTCTCAACATTGCTCTGTCGCAACGCGTGGGTGGATGTCTTGGCAAAGTGCAGCAGCGTGGCCCCCAGCCAAATGGCCGCCAGTGCCCTCTTTTACTTTCTGTCTCAAAACCCAGCCCTGTGTTTCTGAGGTGGTTTCGTGTGTTGGTTTCGTGAAGCCCGCCCCCCTGTCGTTCTGTCTGGTCTGTCAATAGAATGCAAGTGTGGGAAAACGTTTCGTTTCGGGTTTTGCCCCCTTTGCAGGGGTGGCACACTCCGGAAATCATTGCCAAAGAAGATTGCTTTTTCGTAATCAGTCATAATTCCTTGCTTTTATCTATCTGTCTATCTATCTACCAGCACCTTTACCAAAGTGCACGACACCAAATCGTCCATTGACCATCCAATTGTCATCCAATTCTTTGGCCCGTGCCACTTGGTCGGCATCCATACCACATCCAATTTCGGCCTTGAGTGTGCGGAGGGCACAAACGGGACAGGGAAAGTAACATCCGACGACATCGGCAAAGGGTGCCGTGTAGTCCCACATACAATCCCCGAGCAAACGACGGTAATTGGCATCTCCCTTGACAAAAGCCAAATCGCAGCGTTCGACCATATCACTCCGAAGTGGTTCCGTCATGTCCCACATGGCAAAGGCTTGGACCCAGAAATTGTCCTCGACACATTTCCATTGTCCCTTGTCCAGAAATTCCTTCCAGGTGGCTCCGGCGGCTTGGGCATGGGGGAATTCATCGGCATTCAAATTGGCATAGTGTTCCACCGTTTCTAGTAAATCCTTCTCCAAAGCATCCGAAACAAATGTAGGATGCGATTTGAGTTGAAAGGTGACGCATTTGGCAATTCCCGACTGGACCAAGTACTGTGCCAATGCCAGATCCGTGACGAGTTCAAATCCAGCATTATCGACAATGATATCCACATTCCCACCACCCGTTTGACGCAATTTGTCACAATGTGCCGCCAATACGTCGGAATCATCGTGCAATAGATTTTCCGATGCCGTGGCCAATACTTGACTAAACATATCGACTTTGGCATTGTCCATATCGGCCGGCCAGAGACTCAGATCCATCTTGTTGCCCCACAGCGCAATACTGGCGGCCAGTTGAATGCCTTCGCTGTCGCGCGGCAATGCCGGTATTTTGGCCAACATTGGTTCGGCCGATCCGACACTGCTTTGCAATCCAGCTCGTTTTTGTTTCAAGAATGGATCGTACCGATATCCTGCCGTGTCGGGTTCCCAGTATCCAATGGCTGCCATCAAACGTCGGTAGACGTAAAATTCCGTGACCATCCACGGCGCACTGAGCCACGTATCTTGTTGACTAATGAAGGGTTCCAAGATTTGCTTCCATTCGTTCCATTCCTTTTGTCTCTCATCACTATTAGCATTATCCGAGGGCTCATCAAGATATGTCAATTGACGGGTAGCAGCAAATTGTAAATCTCCTCGCAGTTCTTCAAATCGCTTTTTGATGGTGGCAAAGGCGGGCGATTCCAAATCGTCTTGAATGTCTTCGTACGTTCGTTGCAGAATTTCTTCGTCCACACGACGCGACATGGTATCGTACGCCCATGTGCCCGGTTCCGTCGAACAAATGGGATTGGGAATGGGAAGATTGGGGAGTGGGTTTTTGGTACCGCTAGTAGAGGTAGTCTCGGTATGGCCGGCCATGTTCAAGATGGTAGCAGCCGAGATCTTATTATGGTTATTATTAATGTTGTTATTGGGAGTCCAGGCTTCAGAGGTGATGATATTATCACGAATGGCAAAAGCAACCAGAACAAGACTGAAAAGAGATGAGCTTCTCGGCAACATGATCAAATGATTTCAAAAGGATAAAGGTGACAGACAAAAAATTGTGAACAATGAACACGACAGGTACCTACTAGTCTTGTATAAGCTTCTGACTGTCTACACTGACAACGAAGACCTGCATCAACGTACGACGAGCTATTTCTGTTGTCTCCACCCACAACTCGTTGTACCGCTGCATAGGGTGGTGTTGAAAGATCCAAAGATCTTCCAATTGGACTTGGCAGAAAGATGAGACAACATACGTCAGCCAAACCCTTCTTAGAGTTAGAGCTAGACTACCAGTTCCATTTCGTCTCGTTGGCGAACACGGCAACCATGCCGAGCTCATCAACCCGGAACCTTCTTTACTGCGAACTCCAACGGCGAAGAAGGAAACGCACAAACCCACGACGAAGCATTTATTTCTCAACACTTCATGCATACCAGTTGAGTTGCCAGGCTGCGAACCTTTCCACAGCAGCATAGTCCACTCTTCTCTTCTCCCATTAATCGTCATCCTTAGCCATTTGTTGAACACAGGAAGGAGTAAATCCATTTATTTTTATAAGCAGCCATGGTCCAGCGAACACTTTGGGGACACACCGTTGATTTGGTAAGTCGGTAGACTAAGCAGAAGATAGAGCAGAGGAAGCTAAGCTAAGAAGGCTTGTTTGGTTCGTTGTGATTGTGACATGATTGTGATTGTCTAACTTTTTGGCTCGGTCTGTTTGGTTTATGTTTCTTTAATTTACAGGAAATTCCGGATGATGTGTTTCCTTCTGAGGAACGTCTGAAAGAGCTCGATGAAATCTTTGATAATCCGGAACATGGATACTTTCCAGGGACATTTCAGGGCAAACAAATCTTTTATCGCAAAAATTTACCCAAAGATGGTAGCAGCAAACCCAAAGGTGTCATTGTTTATCAGCATGGCATCCATGGACAATCAGGTACGAAGCTATTGCTTTTTCAAATGTAAAAGATGCGATTCACACAAATTTCAATGAGCTGACCATTATCTACTTCTATATTATTATTTATTATGTAGGACACGGCATGAAATGCAAAGACGGTCGGTACACGGATGTAGCCTTGCGGATTCGGGAATTTACAGAGGCAGGATTTGCCGTCTATGCCCATGACTTTCTCGGACATGGATTCTCGGAAGGAACGCGGTTCTTGATTCCCTCTGGGGATTGGAAAATCAATCGAGATGATACCGTCCAATTTGTCAATACAGTTGTCATGAAGGAACAAGCGGACGATGTCCCCTTGTTTCTCGCTGGAGATTCCTATGGAGCTTGTGTCACCATTCATGCCGCTCGATGGTTCCAAGATCATCCCGAGGAGACACCCAAAAGTTTTCATGGAATTCTACTCAATTGTCCGGCCATTCATGGCGATTTGCCACCGGCTCCTGTTGTGGGTAAGTTTCTGCATGCTGTGGTTCTTTCTTTGAGGATCGTTCCTTATGGATCAAGTGCATGGAGGTTTCTTTCTGTGCGTGGGCTCACATGGCTATTATTGATTCATTTTCGTTCTGTGTACTCGCCACTTCATTGAAACACAACAATTCACAACATGATTCATAATTCTTGCCATACAATCTGCAATTATTAATCAGCCGTCCTGCGACGACTGGCGGTCCTCTTTCCATCGTGGACGCCCTTTTTCATGCCACATCCCATCAGCTCGGAACGAGTTTGGAAGGAACCAGAAGCATTGGAATACTTTGAAAATCTCAAGGATGGACTGTCATTGGCCGGTGTACCCTTTTGTTTGGGAACGGCATTGGGACTACTAGAAGCCATTGAAACTGTTCAAGCGCAGGCTATTCCAGGCTTTACCATTCCCTTTTCCATCAATCATGGGACAGAAGACTATGGCGTGCCCATTAGTGGATCCGAATACATGATGGACAAGGCCGATACCCCTGCGGAAGATAAAGCCTTGAACAAAATTGAAGGTGCCTACCACAACTTGTACACATCAGAAGATGCCAAGGACCGTATGAACTTGGAAATGAAATGGATCAAGGAGCAAATCGAAAAACAAAAGCAATCCACATAAATCAATAATGACGACAGTGTAAAGCATGAACCGGAAAACCAATAGAAGTACGCCATATGTATCTAAAACACTGATATTTAGCCATACAAACTGCCGTATCTTGATTTGTATTGGATTTTGCGCCGAGGTTCCGTCGCCCCCGGATTGTGTCCCGATTGGAGCTCTCCGTCTACTACTTGGCTGCTCCAAGAACTACTACCAGGTACCCCTACTAGCTACCGGTAGCTAGTAAGAGAGTAGGCATCGTGACTTCGCAGTGTGTTACAAGTTGTTAGCTAGCCGTAGTGCTTTTCAAAGTGATTTTCAAACGACTGTCGCAGGTCCACCGCCATTTTAGTCTCCTCTTCCTTGTCAACGAGGCAAGACTTCCAATGCGCCAATTCCTTGTTACCAAGCACAGCGGCAATCACTTCACGCCCTAGTTGCAACGGCACCCTCGGTCTTCCACCATCTCCCTCATCCACTTTGTACAAGAAGCGCTTGTACTCCAGCCGACTTCCAGGCATGGGAACCTCCGCATAAAAATAACCACCGTCCTCCTCATCATCTTGACTCAACAAGGTGCCAATATCCAGATCCGGTGACTGAATCTCTCGAAACTCCATTCGATTGACCTTGCCTTGTGCACGCAACGTCGTTTCCAGCTTGACTCCACATCCCTTTTCCACGGGTACACATTGCACATGCGTGTGATATCCACCCCTGGTTTGAATCGCTCGTTCAAACACAAACAAATCCATGTCGTACTCCTCGCGGGCATGTTGGCGCAGAGCCTGTAAGAGTTCTCGAATTTCCCGCGACACGGTCTTGTCCAGAAAGGCACCTTGGCTGGAATGGGCCACTGGAATGAGCAACACATGCCCCTTGTGAATGGGTCCCTTGGGCATGGCCGCGTAGCATTGTTGGTAGACACCGGTAATCAAATGCTTTTCGCATCCTTCACTCGCCAAACAGAACCAACAATCCTTTCTAGAATCCGCTGGAAAGTGTTGTCGTTGGAATTGAAAGTCACAGTTGGCATCCTGGATGAGTTGGTTCTTCTTGTCATCCCCCTTTTCACCACCAACGGTGCCATGAGCCCAATGTAACGCCAGGCCCCAGATCTTTGTGGGCGTCTCAGTTTTGTTGCTGTTGTTGTTGTCGGCATTATCCTTCGCGTTTTCTTGTTTGACTTTTTCGTCCCCCTCGACGGCCTCGTCTGGTTTGTCGCTGTCTTTGGTGACGTCACCGTCTTTGGTGTCCTCGTCTGGTTTGGCGTCGCCGTCCTTGGCATCGCTGTCTTTAGCGTTGGCGTCTTTGGCGTCCTCGTCTGGTTTGTTGTCGCCATCTTTCGTGTTGCCGTCTTTGGTGTCGCTGTCTTTGGCATCGGCGTCTTTCATGTCCTCGTCTGGTTTGGCGTCGCCATCTGATTTGGCGTCGCCATCTGATTTGGTGTCACCACCACCCGCATCCTTATCATTACCATTTGGATTCGCCACAGTACCTCCATCGGTGCTTCCCGTGAGTGTAGCCAGTGCCATGCTGGCGGCGGCATGGGATGCAAAATCCAAAAATCCATAATTGTCATTCGTATTTCGTCGATGGAGTTTGACTTGCAAGGCTGGTTCGTCCTTGGCCGTCACTCGATTCTCTGGTTCCGTAGTGTCATCGTTCAATGCATCTTCCAACGTCGCTTCCATCCACATTCGGACCTGTTCACTGACACTGTCGTATTGATTTTCGGTCACGGATGGAGGCAACCGATAGTAGAGTGTCGACGAATCTTTGGCTTCTGCCTCGGTCAGAATGCGCCGTCGTTTGGCATCATTTTGCTGTGAATTATTATTATGTTTCCCCCATTTCAATGTCAAATGAACACCCTTAATGTTAATTTCTCCTCCCATGGTGCCCAAACAATCCTTGGCTTGTTGGTGCGTGTCGAATTCCACAAAGGCAAAGGATGTCGTGGCGGCATTGGGAGGCCGTCGCACTTTGGTAGCACCAAATGGTTGAAAGGCTCCCAGTAAGGATGGGTCGGATGCCATTTGCAATTGACCACTGACATCGCGATGCAAGCCATGCACAAAGAGTGTCGTATTGGTGGGATCGACCGGTCCGTCGTCTGCTTCGTCCGGATGAGATCGTTTGTTATTGTTACCATGTTTTTTCTTTTTCAAATTCCATCGCACGGATGCTTGCCCGCCTTCGGCAATAATGCGTCGTGCTTGGGCTTCGGAAAGTCCTCCGGCTGTGTGAGTGTTCCGACTGGATCCATCTTTTTGGTAGGAATCATCGGTAAATGGACAGGGTGCCGTGTCGGACGATTGTTGTTGCTGCAATTCGAGTGCATTCATGGCATGCAGTGGTACCACGCCCAGTGCATGGACGAATTTGTGTTGCTTGGGAACCTTTTTTTCGGGCGAGACAACTGCCAGTGCTACCAAGCGACCGACATGTTGGGGTGTCACGGTGGATGTGGCGGCTTTTAAATGTGCAAAGGGAGGAGATTGCCAATAGAGATTAATGGCAGCATGAGCTGGGACGATATGATACCGTGCCCGCGCTCGTAAGGCCACTTCAGCGACATCGTAGGTGGCACTCTGGATGGCTTGTTTATTATTAGTAGGGTCTGCGGCCAGTGCCTCCATGCCCTGCGGCCAATGACTGGTCAATAGCAAATCACATCCCACATAAGACACATGCTTCAACTTGTCCATGAGTGGCTTCACCATGGTATCATCGTCCAAGCGCAGATTGCGAGGACAGCATGCTACCACCAAATCAATGGGGCCAGTGGTGGATTGTTTGGATGGAACTGACACATTGAAAACATTAGCCACTGTGGTGGGAAAGGCTTTCAGATTGGGTTCAATCAATGTCACAATCTCCTCTCCTTTGTGGTCCGTTGTTGTCAAGGCATCTTGGAGATAGACTGGAATGGGAAGGGCTTGAAGTGCTTCATAGTCCTTGTCACCAGAAGAGGGAACGTGAAAGGAACCCACACAAAACACAGCGTCAAAGGGACCTGCTTTGCTCTTGTGTAATGACTTGACCTTATTACAAAAGGCGGTGATCTTGTCATTCACGGCGCCAAACAGCAACAGCTTGAGCTTCTTACTATTGTCAGTGTTGTTGGACATGGTGATCCTACCTTACAGCATCAGTATCATCTGTTTGTGAGGGAAGGGTAGCTCTTCTCGAATCTCGAAGCAAAAACAGTTGCCTCGAGTGCAAAGGACTGGTGGTGACAAGATCCTTTCGGAAAGATGAGATATACGTCAGCATGGATCTTGTTAGGGTTAGTGCTGTCCCAAAGATTCATTCGCCTTTGAAAGATCGTGCCAGGATACCCCAGTCATTGGCCGCCCTTCACAAAGCTCTCAGAGTTATCTCAAACATAACAACCAACCAACCAACCAACCACTCAGACAGCAACAACAACAGCAACAAAACAAAAGGAACGCAGCCAATCTTGACCAGTTGCTGAAGCACATCCTCACAATTTCTAGATCTAGCTCTGGCAAATCGGAGCATCACAAAAATATCACAAAACCTATCCAATTCGTTTGACACAACGTCTATCATGACATTCAGATCATCCATTCTCGCATTGGCACTCGCTCTTCTCTCTCCCATCGCAGCATTGGGTGCCGGTGGAGAAGACATTCGCATCACAGAAACCTTTTATCCCGCCATGTCCAATCATGCCAAAATCTGCAAGCACTATTTTGGACAATTTGCGGTTCCACTTGATTTCGAAACGGACTTGCACGGCATGGCCGCCAATGCTGTGGCCGCATGGGCGGCAGAACACGGAATTCCCGCCACGCGTCATGCCGAACATTACTTTGTCACGAACAATGGTGCACAAATGTATCCCGGTACCAACCAGCATGCCTACTTTTTCGAATATCATGCCGGACCGCCACCGGCCTTTTTCGATGCTATTGAAAAACACGGGGGATTGAGTCTCGGAGCCACGAGCAAGTACGGAAAGGTCGTGTGCAAAGTGCCAAACAATCCAGAACGAAAGTTGAGGCAAGTCAAAGAAGAAGAGGACGTCGTTGATGAAGAACCAGTGGAGGAGGTCAAGGAAGAAGAAGAAGCACCCCGAAAGCTCGGATGGGGATGGTTCTAACTAAGCACGTACGTATCACGAAAGATTCCAATACCCAATCGATTGGTGACAGGGAAAGCAATCGAACGCGCCAACAGGAAAAGTTTACCAGCACTTCCCGCTGATGACAACAAAGATTCAAACGGACTGACCTCTCAAAAACGCACTTCGTAGACCTCTACACTATGATATAGCCACTGTATTTTCTTCATTTTCTGCTTTTTATTAATCTAGATTGGTTGTCAGATACGGTAGGTTCAACTCTCTGAGTTAGCTGGCTGCAGTACACCGACCACAACACCTCGGTACTGTAGCAGGCAATCAAAGACAGCCTTCGACCAGCCATGGACTTCTTTGGTTACCAGCAGCAACATCGTGCGACAGCCCCGCGTGCTCTTGAGACACACTTCCCTCGAAGATACCTCGAAGACTCGAAGATACCAAGGTCATCGGGCTGATTCGATTCGGATGAACGAATGCACCTTCCTACAGCTAGCTAGCAAATTCGACGACTACCGTGCTTGGCAGAGGATGGTGGCGAACGCGGTGTAAATGGGATATATTGCTGAACTAGCAAGCCAATGGCCAGTTAGTAGGGGATCAACCTGATCAACCATACCAAGGAGTCGCAACACCCTCGAGGAGGCCACGCAAAGATCAACCACCAATCTTGGTTGTCCCATCGTGCTCTTGAAACGAAAGACGGAGTTTACGAAAATGAAGCTTCCATTGCGTCTTGCTGTCACTCTTGTGGCCTGGCACGCGGCCATGGCATTAGACGATCTCGAATACAAGCTTACGTCAAGCCTCTACATGCCCGACGCGGACCACCAGGAGATTTGTCGAGAATACTTTGGGTCAGGTGCCGAGGTTGCTGATTTTGAGGATTTCAAGGCCATGGATCCCGATACCGTTCAAGAGATTATGAGCGAATTGAGCATTGGCACCAGTCGCAACGAGCATATCTACTTTCTCAAGTATCAAGGTCAGAGTCTGTATCCCGGCACGCCGAGACATGCCTATTTCTTCGAGAACAATGGAGGGGATCCACCGGCATTCGTTGACATGGTGGATCATCACGGTGGACTGAATGTTGGAGTTACAAACAAGTTTGGGCGAGTCGTTTGTAGGGTTACTCCGACAATAGCAGAGCGGGTGCTGGTGGAAATCCAAGAAATAGGGGAACAGATCCGTCAAACAGTCAACAACGCCGTCACCGATACATATTCAGTGAGACGAAGACTGGTTAATCATGAGCCTCGTCGCTGAGTCTGAGTCTCTTACACGAGAGTGAATACGACAAATTGAAGCCCGCGCTCTGCTCAAGGTACAACAAACCTATCACGATCACTCGGTCTAGTACGATGTATGTGAAGGAATATTCGAGAGCGGCAAACACCCAGTTGTGATCGACCACAACAAACAGCACAAAAAAACGCTTGAATAGCAACAACTTTAGGTTCTCTTTGCGTAGTCTGGACAACGTTAGTAGCTAGGTATTCAAGTAACGCCAGCTGTACCGGAGCCCAACCAAATGTGAACATGTTGAAAAAGATATCCTGACACAGCAAACTTCACCCTTTTTTGTTGTTGAAAACCAATGCCTGTTAGTGTTTCAACCCTCCTACAGCGAGCCTTAGGCCTTGCCAGTAAGGAGGTCCGCAGGGGCAAGTCCTTGTGCATCACGATCTGTGTGAGGGACTCCAGTCTTCATCAAGATGGTAGTAATCTCTTGATGGCGTTGCTCAAATGCCCACCACATGGGACCACGTCCATCCTTGCTACGAACAAAGGCCAAAGTGGGTTCCTCTGCCAGGATGCTCCTCAATTCTTCCACTTGGTTGTTAGTGATGAGTCGCCACATCAAGGTCGTCTCTTCCGTATCGGCCCACGTGTTGTAGATCTCATCCACACGCTTTCGTTGCTCCTCAGGTTGTTGTGAATCTTTCATGCGGCGCATTTCCTCCTGCATGGCAGTCTTTGATGCTTTCTTGGGGTTCTGAAGTGATTCAAAGTACTGGCGTTGATATTCCTCGTCAGCTGCTCCTCGATTGAAATCCTCCAGCTGGGCAAAGTCCTTCTTTCGGCCAATAATGGTGGACAGGGCGGGAGGGTATTGGCCAGGACAGAACCAGCTTCCTGGAACATCGCAGAGCTTGTTGGTGGGATCGGCCACCCAAGCTTTGGACTCTTCTGACACTCCAATGATTTTGAAGATGCGCACCTTACCATACTTGGACCTATACACCTCCTGGAACTGCTCTGGATCCACCTCAACCCCAGGGCGAATCTGATGGCCGTGAAGGTGATACAGCAAACTTCGTTTCATCATGGGTGATGCGGTCCCCCGGCTGTCCTGTTGTGTGGAGAATAAGGAACAGCACCATGTGAGATGTGCTACAAACGTTGGCGGTGACAACGGCAACAGCGATGGAGCCAACAAAAGAAAGAGACTTACGATAACTCCAAATGCACGACACGAAGGATCACCGGGGCAGTGCTCTCTGTAGACCGAGTTGGCAATTCGAGCCAAGTGGGGGGATTTGGCTATACAGTTCGTTGGAAAGGATTATTCTGAGCAAACGTATCTCACAAAAGACATCATTTTCACATGGCATGCAAGGGATCTCCAATGCTTACCGAGATCATCTCCACCACCTCCGCCCCATACAAGGACATAGTCAGCCAGATGACGAGCTAGTTCAACGACGGCAAGGAGACCAGCCAGAAGTGTAAGCACGGCATCCTCAAGACAACAAAGAACATCAATAGTTACACATACCAATCTCATAGCCCTCGTCAATGTCAGTCGTTAGAGCCAGGCCAAGAAGTGCAATGTGCTCGTGATTCCATGTGTTCCCATCGGCGATTGTGGTACGATTGCTGATACCTATATCATATATGAAGAAAGCCACGTGAGATAGCTGCACACTCCAAGAACAACTGCAAGCTCCACAGTAGAAACATAGACACATACCAGTAATCTGATATCCATAGTCCCACCATGCCATGATGCGAGCATCTTCTGGTGTATTGTCTCGGAGCCACCAGTACGCTTCACGGTAATCGTCGACCTTGACCACTCGACCATCTTTGAGGCGACCTTGGATAATGATACTTGGATTGGAAAGATCTTTTGAGAGTCGCCAGCAGTACTTGGTGAAGCTCGTACCAACGGTGTATCCCAACAAGACTATGACGGCTGTGATGGTGCGTCGAACAAACAGACCTTCTTTGCTCTTTGAAGCTGTTTCATAAGCATGCTTCAGCGAAAGAAGGCCTTCAAAACTGTTGCTCCCACTCCCTTTGGATTTAGTGCTGGCAGATGCCGAAGAAGCCGCTGATGGTGCTCCTCCAGGAGTGTTCTTTTTGGTTTTCTTACTTTTTTTGCTGTCTTTTCCTTTGTTGTGTTCCTCGTTGGCACTGCCATTGGACGATGAATCAACATCACTTTCCCACCACTGCTGGAGACACCAGGAAAAGAGTCTTCCAGCAGCGATGCCTCCGAGTACACTACCAATGGGAGCGGTCAAGAGGATGAGTCGGACCATTTTATGACTGAAAAAGTACGCCACTGCTCCCCACGCAATCAAGAAGGACGACGAGTCACTTAGATTGCACATGACCAACACATATCCAATGGGAGCCACAGAACAAACGTGGTGGAGGTATTGAAAGTAGGCTCGACTTGAAGCAGGTTGATGCTCTGCGACACTGTCAACCAAAGGATTTCCAGTTTTGGTATGTTGCACAAAGAGTCCTCGAACGCGGGAACTGATGGGTCCAAAGTAGCCGGATGGAGCCAAAAAGAAGGCAAAGATGCACAAGGCGCCCGCCAATGCCACACATACTTGAATCCGGAGCTTCCAGGCGGCCGTTCTGGACAGATTGTTGCGTCTTCGAATGACTTCGCAGAACTGCAAGACTTGGTATCCAAGAAATACTCCGCAGGGTCCTAACTGTTCGAGTGACCTGAGAGGAGCCCATCCCACGACGGGGACCTGAATGGCCAACAACGTACCAATAGAATAGAAAAGCGAATAGCTCAACCAGACCTTATCGGAGAATCGTCCCAATCCCACCAACATGGCCGCGTGGACACCAATTAAATTCAGAACAAACACAAAGCCTCCCCAGGTCGCAACCATGTAAAAGTAGGAGAGTCCAGTGAGACATCCATATACGACGATAGTATTGACATCATTTCCGTTTCGGAGAGATCTCATCCAACAGTAAAAGGTCAGAATCATGGCGGTGGTAGCAACAGATTCATTGTCGAATCCTCCTCCCACACTTCTCATTAAATGGGCCGGTACAATGCTCATCATGGCCATGGCAAAGACAGCGCATTCCAATGCTGGTGACAAATTGGAAAATGAATTGTTGCTTTTGGCAGGTTTGATGTGGTTTCTTCCGCAGGTTCCCTGCACAATATCCCACAAAAACTGGATCAAATTAGAGCTGGTATTCTGCGGGAGCGAAGCTTCGTAGGCCAACAATCCAGTAATCAAGGTAGCAATGGCTCCAAACCAAGCCGGCATGTAGCAACAGACATCGTTGAGACTCCAATGACTCAAGAGGTACCTGTGAATGGCCACGGCTGTGACTTGCATGCCAGGATAAATCGTCGTTCCCACAGGTCGTCCCAAGGGATACCAAACCTTGTAGTCAAACCAATGGAAGAATTTATGCATGCCATTGGCGGCGAGGTACTGAAGTTTTATTAAATGGGTGAGAGCAATGACGGGGGTAAACATATTTTTAATGGTAGCATCAACGAAACAAATTTGTATCAGTGCACAAATGACAACAAATACACGGCTCCTTAACTTGAAGTGATGCTCACCTCTGTGGCTCGATAGTTGAAATAGGGATCAAATTCATGAATGACGGGCCCATACTCCTCGATGGCATGCATGCGGATCCTATAAGCGGCATTCAAAATGACGGATATTGCATAGAATAACGCTCCAATCCACACCATTTGCATTAGCTGACGCGACGTGTCTTCCGAAGCGCTTTTGGGCAAGGAAGAGGCCATGATCTCATTCTGTTCTAGCTAACTTGTTATGCTGGTCTGGTCACTACTTGATCAACTCTTGCTGCGGCGAGAGGTGCTTTGATGGTTGTGCTTGGGTTCGCGGCGGGAAATTGGTGGACGTTGGAAATCGTGCCTTCTTCTTTCTTCCTTCGGGCTCTCTCCGCAAAAGATCCTACTGGCCGTTGGAAGCCTTAGCCTTACACATAAGCCAACGAACCTGGGAAAATCGGGAATCTGAATGATGCCCGAATCGAAAGATGGTGTGTGTCTTCCGTCTTCAAACCTTGCAAGTATTGAAAAAGGCTCTTGGTGGAGGACTTACCCCTGATTGCTGGGAGCCTTTGTATGGCGATGCGAGAACACTACTTTTGAAAGGCGAATAGTACGAAACCCTCCATGAGAGGGCGAAATGGTGTCCTCTACTTCGGTCCCTTTGATTCCGAGCTACATGTATGCATGTCTCTCATGTGGGCGTTCAGGAACTACAATATGTTTAGGCAGCTGTTCAGGTGTATTCATGGTTGTCCTTTTGACAGATACCACAGTAACAAACCTTTGCAGATGTATGATAGCTAGCTAGTAGCTCGGTTGTAGCATGAGCCCGCTTTGCTTCCATCTACATCTCCTTCAGCGACCCTTACTGCTGAAGATGGTAGTGCGCACCAGGTCAAAATAGCATGATTGCTTTGAGCAAGCAAGTTGGATGCTAGATTGTTTCCTCCGTGCCTTGAGCACCGCTCTTACCCAGAGGGTCCACTGCGTTTCCTCCACAGGACCAAGGGTTTCTTGAAAGCCACACACACAGACGTGATTGATCGAGTCATGACTACCTGCCATGGTTAGGCTGTTCCATCATCGAGTGGCGTTACTTGAGCTACGGGAATGGATGCATGGTGATGTCGTGTGCTGAGGGTAATCGGTGTCGCTTCTGCCACGGAGGTGCCAACTGTGGCCACTGGAATGGCCAGAGCCACTGGTGGTGGCGCCGAGGGCCTCGGCGGAAGGGGGTGAGGATGATTGGTCATACTATTATGGGCACGGGCTGGTGGTCGATGATGCTGATTCGCAT